TGAGGCAGGAGAATCACTTGAACCCGGGAGGCAGAGGTTGCAGTGAGGCGAGATCGCGCCATTGCACACCATCCTGGGCAACAAGAGTGAAAGTCTATCTCAAACAACAACAACAACAACAAAATTATAAAACTAAACGATGAGTTCTTGAGATCTGGGGACAGGAGCACAGGAGGAACAGTAAGAAGTTGTCCAGTGGACCACGTTCCTTTCAAAGAAATTGAAATCAACACATCTATGAGAAGCACCTTCTTTGCAGCTCCCTGGGGCCATCAATTGGCCTCTTTATGGTTCTTCCACTCAGTGTATCATCAATTCCCTGGAAGTCTAACTCAGGTCAGAGTCTTTAGAAAATTGCAAGAAGCACCCCTTGCTCAAAAACACCAAACTGAGAAATGCTGAAACTCAAACTACTGAAGCAACCTTCTTCATGGATGGACTGGGGCACTCCAAAAAGAAAATTCTCAGCACTCTGGTAGGATGTCCTTCTGCTAGTGGTTGAGTCCATTCAGTGCCCCTTAAATTAGGAAAGATTTTTCACTACTTTGCAGAGCCTTCACATTACGTTAAGGTGAAGAAAACCTATCACTCTTTGTTCCTGTATGTCAACTAGCATTTATCATGAGTGATAGCAACAAGATCCTGTGCTCACATTTCTTCTTATAATCATGTGTGTGTATGTGTGTGTGTGTGTGTGTGTGTGTGTGGTGTCTTGGAGGGACATAACAAAAACCAAAAAAGCCCACTTTCCCACCATGTCCTCACTCTGCCAGTCCCTAGTTGCATGGCTTCACTTTCTGACCTGTATTTCTAAAATGAATGAGTTACCATGAGTAGTGGTTCTCAGATCTGGCTGATGACTAGAGATATTTAAGAATTAAGAGAATCACTGGTCCCTATTAAAACCTAAAAATTTACTTTCTTTTGTTTCTATTGTTTCCTTCTCCTACCAGTAATGAAAAATACATTATATAAGACAATAGTTGTGGATAAATTGCCATTGACCTTTCACAGTATTTTTTAGGAAAACATAAAATTGATGCTGTAGGAAAAAAAAATCTTCATTTTGATTTTTTCCATCATCAATGCCAGTTACGTCACTTCCTTAAGTTAGAGAAAATAAGAAGTGAGTTAAGGCAGTTAATCACGTGTCCTCTTTAAGGTAACAAAATTATCCTTACTATTTAAAAATAAAGTGCATGTTTTAGAGTAAGCTTTCCATAGTTTAGGCAGTAAGAGAGCGAGACAGGAAGAATCGAGACTATTTTTCTTGACTCAGTTGGTTTGTCACTGTAAAAGTTAGTTGACGAATGCTCACTGAGTACTCCTACACACTCAATAGCACACATATTATTCTTACTCAATATGTGGAGAGAAAACATACCCTTCCAACTATGATTTTTAAATTGTTATTTTCTTAAAAGAATGCTTTTTCAGTCACCTTGGAAATACGTGCAAATGCAAATCTAAATCCCATATGCAGTTAATGATTTGGTTGAAACAAATACTATTCCCTTGAGCTATGTTGGTTTGAGGGGGGAAAAGAAATGACTTTTCTAGTGGGAAGACTGCAATGGCTCTGCTCCTAAGGGGGAAAAAAGCCATGTAGATAAGCTGTTCTTATTTATAACATGTAACAAGATATGTTGCTAGACACAAGCATCTTTCTGATGACTTATCCTGCTGATCAGAGTACCAACGAGTTTATTTTCATAATTACAACAGATGGAAAACAATAAAATTATACTTTAGGCTAATGTACTCTCACCCTTATTATCCTTTTTTTTTTTTTTGGTATGTGTGTCTCCCCTGAAGCTATTTTATAACAATATAAAACTTGCAGAAATATGGCACCGCAAAAGCCTGACCAGATTTCCTAATTATCTGTCATGACTCAAGAGTGCAGCAAGAAATTAGCTCTCCCGGGAGAGAAAAAACTGGATGGAACTTAAAATAATAGAAAGAATCCTATCATGTCTCTCCTCAACAAGTTGAGAAAGAAATCTGTCCATTTTTAGGGGGTTTACTAACTTGCTTTCCTTTTTAAAAAAAAAAATACAGTTTTATGTCAGCTACAAAGAGTTGTGTTCATCAGATCCCTTAACATATGACATACTGTCAAGCAAAGATTCACTCTTGTCTAATTAATTAAATTTTATTTTTTTCCATCCTCAATTCTATTCCATTCCTGTCTTCTCGTCACAAGCTATTAATTCTGGAATAGAATGAATGAGATGTATGTACTTGGAATACATATGTATAATGTATATATCATATATATTTAACACATCTACTTCCTCAATCTCCATGTTTCCACCCTCCCACGTACTTATGTGTGTTCATGTGAACAAATAATTCTGGCCAATGGGGTATAGACAGAAGTGATATACATCTGGACCAAGAAACCTTCCATGTGCTGGTTTTGTTTGTTTGTTTGTTTGTTTGTTTGTTTGTTTGTTTTTCCTCTCTCTCTCTCTTTCATCATCCTTTGGATGGATAACAACACATAGTGTCACTATAGAAATCACTCATTGAAAATGTCAGAACTTTCATCAGCCTGGGTCCTTGAATGGCTGTGTGGATCCATTCTCTCAACACATACCAATGACTATATTCTCACATGAATAAAGAACTTTTAGTTTATTAACTCACTGAAATGTTAAAGTTTATCTGTACTTTTCTTACTTCATTGTTTATTTCACTATAAAGAATCATGAGGTTTACATGGTCTATGTTGCTGACTTTGTCAACTAATTTTTGTCTATTGTAATTCAGGTAGAATGCCTGGAAAGCCAGTCTATTAGAGAGACAACAGAAAGTCAACTGAAGTTTTCTCTTAATCTGGCTCATTGTCACAGTGTTGGAAGCTGGATTTTATGAGAATCTTAGGTGTTCTATTGATGATTCAACCATCAATTGCACAGAGCACTGAGTCTGCGTTAGTAGCTTAAGGCAAACCGCTTTAACCAAAATAAATTGTATTAATATGGCAACATCATTTGCCATACTTTGACAGTCAGTAGGTAAGAACATCTGACAAGAACGCATTCAAAAGATCAAGTGACACCTTGTTTCTTTTTAAAAAAAAAAAAAGCAAAACAAAGACAAGCTCTTCGTAAAACTAAATTATAGAAATGTATGGAACATGTCACTATCCTACATACACATATTGTGCAGGAGGATCCCAGATATTTAGATGGCTTTGGAGTTCTCAGAAATAGTGGACATGGTAATACTAGAGTTTTCCATGCATTGGAGCTGATAGTGTATTTCTTTTTTATTTATTTTTAATATATTTTAATTTTTAAGGACAGTTAAAGGCTTACAGAAAAATTGAGGATAAAGTACAGGGAATTTCCATAGATCTCATCTCCCTGTTACCCTCACTTTTCCCTATTATTACTATCTTGCATTAGTGTGGTATATTTTTTACAACTGAGGAAACTATATCAACATATTATTATTAACTGAAGTCCACGTTGGCATTGGGGTTTATTCTTTGTGTAGTAGTACAATTCTGCGGGTTTTGCCAAATGTAAAATATCCTGTATCCACCATTACAGCATCATACAGAACAGTTTCATTGCCCTAAAAATAGCCTGTGCCCCAGGTATTTCCCTCTTCTCCTTCATAACCCTGGCAAACACCGATCTTTTTATTATCTGTACAGCTTTGTCTTTTCTGGAATGTTATATAACTGGACTCATACAGCATTTAGTCTTTCCACACTGGCTTCTTTAACTTAGTAACATGCAATTAAGGTTCCTGTGCATCTTTTTTGTGGTTTAATAGCTCATTTCTTCTTATCTCTGCATAATATTCCATTGTATGAACGTATCAGAGTTTGTTTATCCATTCACCTATTCACCTATTGAAGGATATCTTGATTGCTTTCAAATTTTGGCAATTACGAATAAAGCTGCTATAAACATTTATGTGTAGGCATTTCTATGGACATAACATTTTCAATTCATTTGAGTAAATACCTAAGAGCACAGTTGCTGGGTTGTATGGTAAAACTATGTTTAGCTTTGTAAGCAGTTGTCAGATGGTTTTTGAAAGTGGCTTCACTATTTGACATTCCCACAAACTGTGAATGACAGTTCCTGTTGCTCCACATCCTCACCCGCATTTGATGTTGTCAGTGTTTTGATTTTTTTTTTTTTGCCATTCTAATAAGTGTAGTGGTATCTCATTGTGGTTTTAATTTGCAATCTCTAACGAACGTACAGTGTTGAGCACCTTTCCATATGTGTATTTAACATTTGTCTGTCTTCTTTGGTGAGTTAACTGTTTAGAGTTTTTGCCCATGTCTAATTGGGTTGTTTTGCTATTGCTCAGTTATAAGAGCTGGTTGTATATTTTGGAAACAAGTCCTTTATCAGATACATGTTATTCACATTTTGTCTTTCTCTCCCAGTCTGTGGTTTATCTTTTCTTTCTCTTAACAGTGTCTTTCAGAAACAGATGTTTTTAATTTCAATAAAGTCCAATTTCATCATTTTCTCTTTCATGAAGCATGCTTTTGTTATTGCATCTAAAAAGTCATTTCCAAATCTGAGGTCCCCTAGAGGTTCTGAGGTTCTCCTATACTGTCTTTTGGTACTTATTTTTAATCTAAAAATATTGTATAATCTTTATACCATTGGGGAAAGTAGAGTCGTGAGTTTATGATTTACATCACTGATTTTACATAATTTTGATGGGTGCACCACATTTCTGATATGTACAGTATTTCCCTACTCTGAGAAGTCGTGATATATTTGTTGGAAATGGATGCATGCTTTTTTATACCAGATTAAATCTGTCCATTTTTCTGAATCCTTCAGGGAATTTCCTGAGAGTGTGGCAGCACAACTTTTATTCTTGGGAAGAGAGGAAACTGAACCTGCTATGGAACCATGACGTTGGTCACTTGATACTTCCAAAGTCATGCCCATCATCATATCTGATTTACCAAAAACTTCCCTTTATAAGAGGGGAACATACTCTACCTGATTCAATGGTTGGCAACTGCAGTGAATCAACGGCTGACGTCTTCCCCAACGAAGAGCTCAAACATCATCGATTAGCAGAGATGGCGGAAGGAAAGGTCCATCTTCTCTACGATATGTCTGAGAGAGGAAGGAGACCAAGCTACACAGGAGCTCACCCTTGCTAGTTGTAATGTGCATCTTTGAAGAGAAGGAGGCAGATACAAGCAATGGAAAAACTATCCCTGAGAAGTCTGTGTTTATCTTTGAAAATGTGGCTGTATAATAAAGCACAGTTTTTTCAATGTAACACTCTAAAAAGCTACTCATTCATTCTGAAGTTGCTGTCATTGCTTAAGATATTCTTAGAACTATTGTTTGGAATTAGACTTTCTAAGGTGTTTACAAGAGGTACAAGAAAAATAATTCAACTTGCTTTTAAATCATGCCTCCAAATAACTACTGAAAGAATAAATTAGTAAACTTAATTTTAAAACCTAAAATCAATAAGCTATTGACTTTTTCAGCAGTAAAATACAATAAAAAATCAAGGTGTAATTATATGATAGAATTAATGATTAGAAAATTAAGGTACTACAAAGATCTACAAGAAACTACATATGTTTTTTGAACACTTATTTTCCATTAAATGGAGTAATGATGCAGTTTTCTTCCTTGTTTACCATATCTTATACCGTATTAACTTATTTTTGTTTCCTTTTTCACCCAGACTGACACTTTTGCACCTCACCAGTAACTACAGTATAGGCTAAAGTTCCAGAACCTTATTCCTCCCTTAAGTAATTACAAAGAATCTAACATTCTCTGAGGTTACTTATTCCCATTACAACACTAAACTACTCTCCAAGTGGAGTCAGCGCTCTTAGAACTCATTTCCTTGAAGTCTATTCGCTTTTACTTTTTCAGCCAACTCATTCTCCCTCCCTAATTTGGATTATAAACTCAGGGGAAGGGACTGTGTCTTACCCTATATCAACTAGGTGTTCAATGAATATTATTAATTATTATTAAAATTCCTAATGATGTCAGGCTTGGTCTAATCAATTTTAATTCAGCTTAATCTCTTTCAATTAAGTTTAATTTAGGAGGTGCTGCCCTGATATTTTTCTTTTAGCTAGATATCTAATTTACTTCTGCAATAGGCTCCTCCTTTCATCTTTTTTTTTTTTCTTGCCTCATAAATTTCTTCTACAGGCAAGATGTTTCCTTTATGCCATTGCTAAGGTGAATTTTATCTGACAGATGCTTTTAAAAGAGACTGCTTTCCTTGCCTAGTCGAGTATTATGCACAGTTTTTGTATTAAAGCTAATGTTTCTCCCAGTGAATTGAAAAAAGCTGACAGAAACAAACTCACCTCTAGGCCATTACGGTGCATGTTAGCAAGTGGGAAGGGTATCCGAGGAGCAGTTTCTGTGCTTTGGAGAAGGCGTTCCTGTAGCCATGTGGAAGATGGATTAAGGTGAGCAAGAGCAGAGATAACAAGATCTGTTTGGAGACTACTGAAATTACCCATGTTAGTGTAGCAAGAGATTGTCCAAAGCTCTGACAGTAATGATAGACAGCTTTCAGTATATACTTTGAGAAACGTGACCAAAGAGAACTTGCTGATGACAGGGAGGTGAGACAAGCAGATCTGAGCAGCGGGTGATACAGAAGGAGAAGCAGGTTTGCAGCTGGGGCAATGGCGTGTGTCCTGGGTACCGTCAATTTAATAAATAAAGACTTGGAAGTGTCTGGGCCTGGTGGCTCATGCTTGTAATCCCAGCACTTTGGGATGCCAAGATGAGAGGATCACTTGAGGCCAGGAGTTCGAGACCAGCCTGGCCAACGTGGCAAAACCCCATCTCTACTAAAAATACAAAAATGAGCCGGGTGTGGTGGCCCATGTCTGCAATCCCAGCTACTGGGGAGGCTGAGGCAGGGGAATCACTTGAAGCCAGAAGGCAGCAGTGGCAGTGAGCCGAGATCGTGTCTCTGCACTCTAACCTGGGCAGCAGAGTGAGACCCTATTTCAAAGACTTGGAAGAGGTGAGGGTCACCTTTCCTTAGGAAAGAATAGTGCCCTCTAAAGGGAATGGCTGGGTAAAATACTGAAGATGGCTGAGGCTGGAATTGTAGAAAATGCCAGCATTTATGGAGATAAATAAAGAAATACAAATCCAAGAAGTATACCGAGTAGCAGTGAACAGAAAAATAGGACAATGAGGAAAACATCTGGTTATGTAAGCCATCTGGAATTTTATCATCAGAGGCTCTGGAAAGGGAGAACTGCACATGATTCTGAGCCTCTAGGGTGTGCTCTCTGTTAAGAGAGGGAACTCACTTAAAAGGCACTATAAACAGGGCTGATGTATGGCTGGGGGGCTGTAGCTAGCCAGTAGTCTCTGGTACCTCTCTACAGTAGTTTGAGGTTAGCATCCGTTCTGATACGTCAGCCTGTGCAGTGTTAAATATTTATAATATCACTGGACTGTAACAGTAGCTATCTCTTTTTCCTTGCATCTGTACTTCCCCTCTAGCTTGTTGCTCTAAGAAGATAGTTTTCTGCCTCTTGTTCTTATGTAAGACCACCTCTAAAATGTTTTGTGACGGTGGCATGATGCAGCTGAATGAGGAATCACACACACAGCTGGAGCTCAGTTCTCAGTATGACACTCATTAGCTTTCTGAACTTGGGTAAGTTATTCAAACTTTCTGAATTTCAATTATTTGCATAAAAAATGGGAAAAAAATCCAAAAAGTTTTAGATATTAAATGAGATGCCACATATGACACTACTTATCATATAACCGGTAAGATAGAGGCGCTCAGTAAATGTTGATTTTTCTTTTGCTCTGGCAAGTCAGTTTTCTCTCTCCTTTCCAGGATGTTTTTGTACCCTGGTATTCCTGAAATCCTAAAATTAGGTCCTCTTTATTGCTAGTCCCTGTTAGGATGACGATCAATGCCACCTTCTCAGAGAAGTCTTTGAAAGAATCAACTCTTCAAAGAGGAACACAGAGTTAACACCTATATGAAAAGATGGCACTATTCATCATTGTTTTACCCATTCTTACAAACTTTCTTGCCTATATTTTCTTAAGCAATCGGGGTACCATTGTGTCTTCCATTGTTCACTCCTTCATCCATTTCAACTGTTATCTTTTTACTCTTTAGGCAAATATACAGTGATGGCTCAACGGATGAAGTGTTGAAATAAACATCTGCTCACACACATCCTGTTGAAATGCAGACCAGAGCCTCAAACATTTTTAGCTGACAAGTTATCTGTACATATGCAGCATTTTACACTTACCAAGAAGAATTCTATGTGCTAAACACACGCAAAAACATGACTGCGAGCCCCATAAAAGTAAAAGATTTTCCTTTACCTTCTGTAATTTCCATGGTGTTTATAAAGGTTTTCAGTCTTCATGTGAGTGGTCAAAATGAAGTCACTTTGATTTATTTTGAATCAAACAAACAACAAAAGCTCATGATTTCCAGAACGAGGCATTTTCAATTAGAGATGAAGTGGTTGAGAGATTTCACAAGAGAAAGTTTTGAAATATGAAACCCAACTAGGCTTTTCTTCAAAAGAGATAACATGAAGCAGAATACAGCAGTGACCTGGGCACTTAGGCTGGTATCTGGAGTCCTGGAGTTTTACGCCTACTCATGGGTAAAAAGCATTAATTAATGCACTTTATTCCACTATCAGTGTCTCTAAGATGAGGGTATTGGACAGAAGAGCAGAGAAAAGAGGCAATCTACAAACACATGGAATATAAAAGGTCATCAACAAATGCTAGCTGCCTTCCCCTAATTCTAATCTTAACATGCCATGATCGTAGTGCTGTTATTCACATAAGGACATTCTGTTTGGCTCGGTTCTACCACCGTGTTTTAAGTAACAACTCCATAGTAAATATAACAATTAACTCAATCACTCTCATTCCTTACCTAAAGCCTTTCATAGTAAATGTGAAAGCCACATTTTGGCAATAAGAAAATAAATTATACAAAGCCAGGCCGTAATATGGGAAAGCTTTACATATATTACATGATCAGAATTAACACTGTAGATAGTCTAGTCAATGGTTTCCATAATAGTGCAACCATTAAACACTTCAGCTCAACTAATTATGTTAAACTAGAAAGCAAATGTGTGCAAAAACATACTTATACACATATTTACGTTATGAGAACATATAATATATGGGCTTTTGACCAAGACATACTCTGAACATGGCTGGCATGGGGCTTTGTGTATCACATAAACATCTATTGCATTAAAATGATTGATGTGAGTTGAAATCACAGAACCAGGTCCTAGCCCAACAGACGATAGAAGGCTTGGGTTGATTAGCCTATTTCACGTTTAAAGTTCAAAGAGAGATTGTGGGTGACCCAATCAAGGTTGATTGGTGGAGAAACCTGCAAGGCAGTCAACACAGAAAAAAAAAAAAAGAGAGAAAATTTTATAACAACTGAAAAGTAAAATCAAAGGTAATAACTTGACCTGAGCTTACAGAGGCTGGGAGACTCAGAAATGATGTTTTTCACTTCATCCATAACACACACTGCTCTTCTCTGGTTCTGAAAATAGCATGTGACCTATGAAGCATCCTATTAGCTGTTTCAGAAAAGCACATTTTCTTCTGAAAAGAAATCGGTTTAAGAATCAAGAATCAAGGAAGCAAGTACACAAAGCCAAACACACTGGGGTTTACATTCGGCACTCATTCAAAATGTCATGTCATTCGAATGTGTCTCTGGTTTTTAATGGTGCTTCACTCGGGTCTAATCACATTCAAACCCTGCTGGGTTGCATGCTATTATGTGCTCTAAAAATGTATAGCTGAAACACAACGAAAATAAAAAGCTCGTACAAACCAGTAGCTGAAGCACAGGAAGAAGACGCCTTTGGGATTCCATATCGTTTGGTGCAACTGGCTTACAAGGTCATCTATGACTTGTTGCCCACTTGTGTCTCTGTTCCCTCATTGTGAAAATAAGAGTGATCATTAGAAATGATTTATGACCTAGACCTGTCATATTTATTTTCTTTAAATTACATTGAGGAGGCTGTTTTAGCGAAACAGACAAACAGCTCTGATTGTCTTCTTTTATTTCCTATTACTACATGAAAGACACTAGGAAGACATTTCCAAATGTCTATTTCTACCAAAATGGGAGCAGTATTATTTCTACATTTTCCAGGAATATCATGGTTATGAAAAGTTTCAAGTGAGAAGGATAATGTAAAACTTTCTTCCCAAATATTTCAAGAGGTGAATTTTCTTGTTCTGATCATTTTAGCTTTGTAGAAGGTTATATTAAATTGTATGTGCACATCAAACAGTATTATGTATCTTCAGGCAAGTACATAGGAATAACTGGTCCTTTGATTATTTTCCCCTGAAGTTTGAACATTTGCTCATGAAGGCTTTGCTATTTTTTTTTTATTGTTGACATTCAAATGGAATTGAACCAAGAGTTTTCTGGTCAGAAGAAGAAAAAGGATAAAATTGATAGAAGCCAAAGGAACTCGTGATAGTTTTTGACAATTTCCCAATGTGGTTTCTTCCTCATCCCAGCTGCCAGAGTGATGTAATCAGAAACAAAATGCATTTTATGATAAACGCCTTGGGGTAAACGTAGCTCAAAAAAGATATTACAGTTTTCCTCTCTTTGGCTTCTTCAAAAATACATCTTTATCTTGAATTGCCTTAACATTAGCTGGTTCTCCAAAGACAAAAGGAAACACATACACATATCTACACAGGTATAGTCATCAAGTTTGGCTCCTAGAGCCAAGAGAGGACCATATTATGCTTTATTTTCCTAATCCCAGGACAACTACACATTAACACATTTTGCCCAGAGTAACTGAATATGACAAGAAATATGAAAGAACATATTGTAGGTACAGACAGCTCTTCCCAAAGTAAATTTAAATGGCATAGGTTTAAAAAACACTCCTGTAGGAGGGTTCATTCCATTTGCAGAACTCAATCTGTGCCACTGACAAAATAATCAGACGCCAAGGAAAGAAGTGTGACCCATTCAGTGGGCTGAGGGTTGAAGTTCAGAGGCGTTTGGTGGAACATGTGGATGGGCTAACAAGACGCTGCTGATCCGTGGGAACAGGATGGGCACAAGAAGATCCTGTGAGACCTGCTAAAAGCCCCAGCAGGGGAACAGGATGTTAGCAGATGCGAGGGCCACTGTGGCCACAGCAGTGCTGTTGGAGTGTTACCATGGTTTGGCATGGGCCGTGTTGACTCGCAACAGGCATAGTGTATGTGTATTACCTCTGGCCTTGATCACAGAGTGGGAAGCCCACTAAGTGGAACCAATACTCCTCAATCAGATCAACAGTCACTGAAAAATAGCCTTCTGATATCATAAGAAACAACACTTTAAAATCATAAAGTGATCTGATGTATGTAGTAGCAGGAATACCTAACCATCTCTTTGCAGCCAAGTCCTCCTTTTGCCAGGTTAGGTTCAGTTGGGAACCCAGGGAGACCGATCTGCTGTTCATAAAACTATATGAACAAACTCTTAATACGTAGATATAAGAGTGTTAGGACGTCTAGCCAGGGACCAGTCTAGAAGATTACAAGAGGTGCTCAGACTGCACTTTGAAAGCTAGTCTTCTAGTGCTACATTAAAACAATTTATTTTTTCAATACCAAGGAACACTGTAAGCCATGAAGCAATCAATAAGCCTCTTGCTAAATGATCTCTAACCTTTATTCAGCCCAGGCCTGTCGTCCAGACCTCTCGTGCCCCAGGGGCTCCTGAGTGGCTCATCTCCCTCCCACCTATGCCTGCTGTTCCTTTCTTGCCCTAGAAAAAACACAAATCTCATTTAATTCACACCATTGTGGTATGGGCAATGTGAGTGCTGAAGACTGAAGGAGGTTCCTCCTATCAGCAGTTCTCAATTTGCTGTGCACTGGACCCACCAGGAGAGCTTGTTAAACTCAGATTGCTGGGCCTTACCCAGAGACTCTGAGTCTGTATCTCTGGAATGAGGCCAGGGATCAAGCATTTATTTCCCTTCCTCCCTCCCTCCCTCCCTCCCTCCCTCTGTCCTTCCTTCTTTCCTTCCTTCCTTCCTGCCTGCCTGCCTGCCTGCCTTCTCTCTTACTCTCTCTCTCTCTTTCTCTTTCTTTCTTGTTTCGAGACAGGGTCTCACTCTGTCACCAGGCTGGAGTGCAATGGTGCAATCATTACTTACTGTAGCCTCAACCACCTGGGCTCAAGCAATCCTCTTGCCTCAGCCTCCTGAGTAGCTGGGATTATAAGTGCACGCCACCATGCCTGGCTAATTTTTTTTAAAAATTGTAGAGATGGTGTCTCACTATGTTGTCAACTTTGGTCTCAAACTCCTGAGTTTAAGCAGTCCTCCCACCTTGGCCTCTCAAAATGCTGGGATTATACGCATGAATCACCCCACCCAGCTGGAACAAGCATTCCTAACAACTCCTGTCTTAGATGATTATTACTCATGTTATAATTGTTTTCCACACTACCCTCTTCATTACATGAAGAGAACATTTCTAGAGCAGAGACTGTGGAAAACACCTGGTTCAAATACCTCCTTTTAGAGAAAAATGAGTCCCAGAAAGGTGAAAGAGTATGACAATGCTATATCTCAGGTTGCCAGATTTTCAATCCAAAAGTTCTCTCATGATGTATCCTCCATCCTACCTTACAGCTGGCTACTTTCAGTGCTTTTGATGAGCTTTACCTCTGCAAAGCTCAACTTGATTTATATCGGCTACCCAAAAACATGCGAACCTTTAAAAAAAATGACTTCCCCACATTAAGCCCTAAAGTAATAATCAAACTCAAGTTTACCATAATCTTCTTTAGATTATCAATATTTGATGGTACTTTTTTCATTTTTATATGAATGACATTATTCTTATTTAGTAGAGACCAAACCATTTGAAATTTTTGAGTTTTTTGAAATAAGTTTTGTCTTTTAAAATAAATTTCGTTGGCCGGCGTGGTGGCTCACGCCTGTAATCCCAGCACTTTGGGAGGCTGAGGCTGACGGATCACGAGGTCAGGAGATCGAGACCATCCTGGCAAACATGGTGAAACCCCGTCTCTACTAAAAATACAAAAAATTAGCTGGGCGTGGTGGCGGGTGCCTGTAGTCCCAGCTACTCGGGAGGCTGAGGCAGGAGAATGGCCGGAACCCGGGAGGCGGAGCTTGCAGTGAACCGAGATCGCGCCACCGCACTCCAGCCTGGGCAACAGAGCAAGACTCCGTCTCAAAAAAATTGTCAATAGCTTGTTTGTTCAATTTTGCTAAGAAAGAAAGCTAATAACTTTCTGAATAAATCTGAGAACACATTTCTTTCTACTAGCGTTGAATTTCAAAAGTATTTTTGTGACATCTCTCAGCATTCTGTGTGTGTGAGATTGCATGTGCATACGTGTTGTAAGGAAATTCAGTGATGCAAGAATGCTCTG